TGGTACCCAGGTGTCTCACCTGAACAACTGCAGCAGCCTCATACTGGGCCACTATCATCTGCTCTGTCTCCTGCAACCCTTCCCCAGACAAGTGCCCCAAATACCTTGTTAAACTCATCATCGGATCACATTCCTCCTTGATTGCGTGGAAATTCTGTAGAACAGATTCACTGTTTGAAATTATGTACTTTTTTTGTCTCCGCATTTATTTTCTGTCTCTCGTTCAATGTAAGGGCCCTTAAATCCACTGTATCACCATTAATTTTTCCTCAGTAAAACTCTCCATAGGAATGACATTAATGTTTACTGTGAAAAGAGATAACCACTTTTAACTGCAAGTGGCAGATGAGATACAGTAAGAATCAAAATATAGATTTATAATTTGGTTGCTAATACGGGATGGTGCAAACAGCCCTGATGGTATAGTGATTACACGTTGGGCTACTAACCATAACATCAACAGCTCAAAACCACTGTATGCTCTTCGGGAGAAAGATGAGGTTTTCTTCACCCATGAAGGGTGACAGTCTCAGACTCACAGGCAGTTCCACCCTGTCCTATCGGGTCAGTATGAGTGGTCGAGACTTGATGGCAATGAGTGAGTCAGTGAGTCAGTGAGTCAGTGAGTCAGTGAGTCAGTGACTGAGTGAAGGGATGGTGCTGACATGTGTATACCTCAAATGTTGATGGTTTTTGTTTTGTTTTAACATGGGATTCAGGAGGAAATGTGGAAACAAGCTTCAGTGGTGTCGTGGGTTATATGTTGGGCTACTAACCACAAGGTCAGCAATTCAAATCCATCCTCCACTCCAGGGACAAAGCTGAAGCTCTCTGTACGTCTGAAGATATACTGCCTTTGAAACCCACAGGGGCAGCCCTGCTCTGTCCTGTGGGGTCCTTGTGAGTCCGAATTGACTCGAGAGCAGTGGGTTTTGAGGAAGGCTGGATGCGATAGTAATTATGTCTATCTGTCAGCATTTCAGCTGGTCAGGGTCTTCGTGAGATCTGTACTCCGAGCTAGAGAGCGTACCTCTGACTACATCTGCGATTCTGGAACTTTTGTCCTCCCCACTGCTATAGAAAGAGAAGTGTCGTCCTCCTGCGTTACCTTTCCTAGCTGCCCTCCAAAGGAAGTCCAGGTTGTGACAGAAAGGAGCAAACTGTGAAACTTGAGAACAGAGAATGACAAAGGCATGCCACAGCAGTGGGGAGATTCATAATATGGGGCTCTTGCGGAAATTACTAATTATTACTTGAAATTTACCTGTGTAAATGCGCTTTGAAATTGAGAACATTTTAGGAAATTCCACATCCTTTTTTCTTGAATGCTGCATTTTTTGAAGTGGGAAATTTACACCCACCCCCCACCCCCCAAATCGTTCCTTGATGATGGCCAGCCAAGACATTTACAGGGCGTGTTACTCCTCAGGTGCCTGTGCAATGTAAAAGGAAACTGATGGGCTGGTTGGCTGTGTGGGCAGGGCTGCCAAGCTCTGGGTTATTTCTGTTCCTGATACTGAACAGACCAAGGAAGTGACCGTCCTGATGGCACAGGATGCATTTTAATGATGGAGACAGAGCCTCCGAGACTGTTTTCCTGATGTGCTTTTATTAGGCTTGAGTTTATAGCCATCTCTCTGCCTGACTTGATTCTTGCAGTACTGTTCTAGTGTGTTCTCCGACCTGCCTTTCTTGAGCATCTACTATCTACCTAACCCATTCCAGGTCCTAGAGAGACAAAGGTGAATGAGACACATACTTTACCTTCAAGGAGTCTATAGTCCGGGAGAAGTGGTCCAAGACAGGAGATAAAAGTTGAACACAGGATGGTGCATGCAGCGACAGCAGGCAGTTCACAGGGCGTGAAAGCAGAGGGCAGTGGGGCCTAATGGGAGGCAGGTCTGGAGTAAGAGAATACGCTCTGCAACTGGACTCTTCACAGTCCAGCCCTGCACTAGCACGCAGTGTGACCTCAGAGTACCGAGTTCACCGCCGTGCCCCAGTCCGCTCAACTGCCCAGTGGAATCTGAGAAGACTGACCATAAGGTGACATTGTGGTGGGTGTTAGGTGCCATCAATCATTCTGCACTCATAGCAACCGTGTTCTCTGTAGAGAATGACGCCATAGGGTTTCTTTGACTATGATGTTCACAGAAACAGATTGCCAAACCTTTCTCACCCAGAGCTGCTGGGTGGGTTTGAACCGCCAACCTTTCCATGATTGGTGGAGTGCTTAACTAACCACTGTGCAATCAGGGCTCCTTCGTCATAGAATTCCTAAGAGGATTAAGAGATCACATAAAGCACTGGGCACAGTACCTGGCACGTTTGTTGTAGCTAGATGCTGGGGAGTCTATTCCAGCTCTTGGCAACCCCACCTGGGCCTCTAGGCTGTGGCCTTTGGGCTATAACCTCTGGGTGAGTGTGAACTTCCAAAGTGCCAGCACTTAAGCCATTGGCACCACCCACCCAGGACTCCTCTGACACAGACCTCCACAGAAATCCGCTTCATTCTTGTTCTCAGGAGAAAGAGGAATAGCAGTCACCCAGGGTGCCGTCTGAGTAGTGTGGTGGTGGTAGTGGTCATAGCAGCAGCCGTAGGCACACAGGATTATAATACACATTGGGTGGTGAGGGTGGTAAATTGTCTGATAATGAAATAAAGACAGTTTCACTACAACTTCTGAGAAGTTGTCCCAATGCCAGCCAGGGGAGTTCACAAGGGCTCCCAGAAGTGTTTTTCCTTGACCTGAAACTTGCAGACAGGCTGACTCTGTGGGGAGTGGACGTTTGGCAGACAGACCAGAACGAGCCAAGGCACAAAGGAGTGAGAAGGTCTCTGGGCTGTGGGAGAGTTCCAGAAGGGTGGGCAGGCCCAGGATTACAGACAAACCTGGAGACAGCACTGAATGCTGTGCAGCAGGCTCGGGACTTGCCTGTGGGACTGGGCAGCAGAGGCCTCAGCCCACCGTCTCTTGATTCCAAATAGTGTCACTGACTGACCTCTCTGCGGTGCTTTGGGAGGGAGTTTGTTTGTGACTCTGATTCCACTCACCGGGTGTGATTTCTTTCTCCTCATAGCCATTGAGTGGATGCCGACTCATAGTGACCCTATAGAGATGCTGCTGTGAGATTCAGAGACTGTAACTTTGTGTGGCAGTAGAAGCCTCATCCCCTGAGTAGCTGCTGGGGGGTTTGAACTGCTGGCCTTGCAGTTAACAGCCTAATGCTATTTCTTTGGGGCCTATGAATTAATAATCTAAAAGGGTTCTTTGTAAGATGTATTATTGTGAATTGGGTGAAGGTTTTCTCACGGTAGATCATCAGTTTCACATTCAACAGTTCTCGACACATTTTGCTTCATCTCCTTACTGCCTTCTGCTCAACGCACCATCACTTATCCCACCTGCTGTGTCTCCTGGTTCCAAGCCCCCTCCCAGCCTAACCGTGCTCATTTTTGTCCATTGGCCAGTACTTCCCTCTTGATCTCAAATAGTTGATTCTGCTCAGGTGTGCATACCTCCATGGTCTTACTGCTCCCCTCACAGGCCTGTCTATGCTTAGGCCGAGAATTGCATCCTGGGGGTGATGGGTCTGGGCTGTGAGTAGGAATTACTTCAATGGCAGTGGGCTTCAAACCAAAACAAAAAAACCATTCTATTATTATTTCTACCCAAAGCACCTCAGCAAAGAGGGCAATGATGAATTACTAGAAGTATAAAAATAGACCTAAGTGAACTCTGCACATGTGTTTGACCTGCTATGGTGTCGTGTTGTATCTCAGAACCAAGTTATAGATTCCCTGCATCATTGCTACCCAATATAGTAGCCACAAGCACCTTGTGTGATTACTGAGTGATTGAAATACGGTAGGCCTGAATCGAGATGGACTGGATTATGAAGCGTTAGGACGAAAAGATGGATATAGAGTGTCCAGTATTTTTATATCGATTACACATTGAAATGATATTCTAGATAATGTAGGTTAAATTACATGTTGAAATGATAATATTCTAGATAATGTAGGTTAAACTAAATACATTATTAAGAGTAATTGCATCTTTTTTATTCTTTTAGTATTGTGGCTAGAAAATTTAGAGCACAACATGTGGCTTGTATGTTTCTGTTGGGAAGCTCTTCCCTAAGTCCACCATTACCAATCAAACTGTCGTGTGGCAATTCACACGAGCAGATGGCCACTATTGGGAAGCTTTGCGCACCCCTCCCCTCTCCCTTCAAGTCACTCTGTAGTGTGTGCCGTCAAGTCGGTTCCCACTCCGAGCCACCCTGTCTGACAGAGAGAACTGCCCCGTAGGACTTCCCAGGCTATTGTATTTACAGAAGGGAGCCCTAGTGGCCCATGGGTTACAGTTGGACTGCTAACCACAAGGTCAGCGGTTCAAACCCACCAACCGCTCCACAGGAAAAGGATATGGAAGACGCCACAGGGGCAGTTCTGCTCTATTCTGTAGGGTCACTATGAGTCAGAATCAACTCGATGGCAGTGAGATTTTTAGAGTCTTTACAGGAGCAGATTGCTAGGGCCATTCTTCCGCTGCAGGGCATCTGATGGTTTAAACCACCAACCTTTTGGTTAGTAGCCAAGTGCCTAAGCATTGTCGCGCCAGAGCCCAGTTTCTAGGTTGGGTCCACAGAAGCAGCCATGGCCGGTGCTGGCAGAGGAGGAGGAAGGGCCAAGGCAGAATCAACAGCTAAGGAGGCTTCTACTGACTTAGAGGTTTTTGAAGCAAAAATACTACCATTTATAGTTATACTGGCCTCAAACTTTCAGCGCTCCCTGAAGTAGATGAGAGATTGCTTTCTGTTCAGGAAGTTGAAATATGTAGGCAGAAAAACTCTCCCTACGGGCCAGAATGGGCGTTGCTGGTCTTGTAGCTGTAAGGATAAATACTCAACCTTATGGTAGTCATTCAGGATTAAAAAGCACACCCTTTTCAAATGTGATTTACTTATGGAATGTTTGTTTGATTCTATTTCAGAGTCATTCCACGACTTCAAACCTGACAACCTTGGACCACACAGAGTCTTGCTGGTAAGTCTGCGTCCAGTTTTTAAAAACCCAGTGACTACTTGACATTAGTTGGAATGATATTCATACTTCCAAGTTAGATGTACCCTGAACAGTACTATGATTAGATGTCTATTTATTCGCTCTTTTTCCTCACTCCAAAGTGATTTATGAGGTTTCCACGCCTTAAAAAAAACAAACAAAGCACATCGCTAAGACCATGGGCAAGAAAAAAGCCCACAATTACAAGCCAAATACTATTAACATAAAACCTTTTTTTTCTGGTAACAAAACTATTCCAGGCCCGTGTTGGAAATCTGCTTATTTCAAGCAGTATCCAAAACAGCAAAATACTCCTGCAGCCAAAGAATGCAGCCAGCCCCTTGCACTGCATTGTCATGAAAATTGGGCAGAGCTACAACAAATTAAGCATCCCACTCTATTCTTTGTCTCATCCCACATCTAACTTAGATGTAGTTGGTTGTGAGCTAAGAGTTCCTTTAGAGCAGGGGTCCTCAAACTTTTTAAACAGGGGGCCAGTTCACTGTCCCTCAGACCCTTTGGAGGGCCGGACTATAGTTTAAAAAGAAATATGAACAAATTCTTATGCACACTGCACATATCTTATTTTGAAGTAAAAAAACAAACGGGGCAAAAACACCCGGCAGGCCGGATAAATCTTGGCGGGCCGCAGGTGGCCCACGGTCCGGTCCGTAGTTTGAGGACCCCTGGTTTAGAGGCAAGAGAATAACGCACTCTGTCAAGGAAAAGCTCCCGGGGCCTGATGTGCCCTTGTTCCCTGATCCCGTGGTAGTACTGTTATTTTTCATGTGTATGTTAGCTCTCGCTGCATAATCAATAATACACCCCGTGTCTTCATGGCTCAGAATTCCAAGGTGTGTAACTCATCAGCCGGTGGTTTGGATGCTCCTGGTTTCACCTGGGACCTGTTAGGGATTGAATAAAACCCCAACCAAACTCACTGCCCTTCCCTGGATGCTGACTCACAGTGCCCCGTGTGGGTTTCCGAGACTGTAACTGTTGGTAGCAATAGAAAACCCAGTTTTTCTCCCGAGGAGCTGCTGGTGGTTTCAAACTTTGCACCCTGAGGATTGCAGCCCAACTCTTAACCACCACACCCGCAGGGCTAGACTACCATGGATTGAATAGTTACCCCAAATCCTAACTTCTGTGCCTGGATCGATAATCCCTTTGGGAAAGGTTGCTGTGTTATGGTGATGAGGCAGGATTGTGGTTGTGGCTGTTAGGTATAGAGTCTGTGCACAACAGAAAGAAACACCGCCCTGCCCGGCACCGCCCTGGTAATTTTTGTTGTGTTTGAGCCCACTGTTGCAGCCACTGTGTCCATCCATCTTGTCCAGGACCTTTCTCTCTCTTGCTGCCCCTCTAACTTTACCAAGCATGAGGTCCTTGTCCAGGGACTGGTCTCTCCTGGCAACATGTCTAAAGTACATGAGATGAAGACTCACCATCCTTGCCTCTAAGGATCATTCTGGCTGTCCATCTTACAAGCCAGATTTGTTTCTCCTTTTGGCAGTACTTTCAATATTCTTGGCCAGCACTGTAATTCAAATGCATCGACTCTTCGTCAGTCTTTTTTATTCAGTGTCCAAATTCCAGCTGCATACGAGGCGATTGAAAATATCATGGTTTGGGTCTGGCGCATCTTAGACCTCAAAGTAGTATCTTTGCCTTTCAACAATTTAAAGATGTCTTTAAGAGGCAGGATTAGTGTAGGGTATATTTTAAGCCAATCTCTTCTAAGATATAAAAGAAATTAAATGTAAGCTAGCAAGCAGGAATGGAGGAAGATGGATGCCAAGCCACGTGGAATCAGGAAACAGACGCGGTAGAGACAAGGGCCTTCTTCGGGGCCCTACTGAGATAGAGCACTTTCCCCTCAGATAAGGCACGCTGAGTTCAGACTTCAAGCCTCAGGAACAATTGAGAAGATAATATTTCTGATTGTTGAAATCATCTACTTGTCACCTTTCTGCTATAGCAGCTCCATAACAGGGCCATTCATGGTGTCTGCCTCAACCTTGGCGGGAGGTTGTCCGGCTATCAGCTGGGGCTGACTGTCTTACCATCCTGCAGGCAAGCCTGGGCGTGCCCACGTGGCATGGTAGTTGGGCTGGGTACTGAGAAAGCACAGGCGCTTAGGCTCAGAACAGACCCAGCATCCCTTCCACCATATTTTGTGTCTAAAGTGACTGATACACAGCCAGCCTCAGGTCCTTCCACTACCTGGCAAGAACAATTGCAAGATCACATTGCCCAGGGCATAGATGGAGGGAGGGTCGGAATGTGTGGCCGTTTGTAAAGTCTAGACGTAACAACGCTTGGGAGGCTGGTACAGGGCCAGGCAGCATTTCATTCTGTGTTGCGTGAGATGAGGTTGCTGTGAGTTGGACCCGACGCAGTGGCACCTGGCAGCATCAGCCATTCATGTGTGAGTCAGGTGGAAACAGCTATGATGGCGTCAAAAGAGCATGGAGCCAGAGAGGACTCAGATCAGACTTGTAGCTCACAGCTTCCTATTCCCGCTATTGGGTTGGCAGTGCCTTGGGCTCCTGATTGGTATCCTCACCCTCTGGTCCGTCAGGCACTTCATCAGGCTCCTGGGGAGTCTCATGGAAGCCGGGTTTCCCCCTCTGCAGCCCTACATTCTACAAAGCACTGCTCAACCCATCATCTCTCAGCTCACCTTCCAGCATGCTGCTCCTCACCTCCCAAACTGCCCAGGCCTCTGTCCCTCTGGCCTTGACTCCCTGTGTGGATTCTCCACTTTTGTGTCCCCTCCTCTTGCTCACTTCCTGCTACTCCCTAGTCTATTCACCTGACCTAGAACTAGCCCTCCACCCCCACCGTTGCCACTTGCTAGCCTTACCTCGGATCTTCTAAGCAGTGGTCGCAGCGGGAAAGCACACACAGTTTGCAGAGAGTCCATGGAGGCCAGTGGGAGAAGCATGGGGGTTACTCAGAAGAAGCAAGGCCAACCTGCCTAGAGACTTGGACACATTTCTCTAGATTGTTGCTCTGGAGGGCACCATGGAAGGTGGCAGATAACACCCCTATATAAAAATGGCATAATGACTGTTCTCTGTGTAGGCAAATGAGGGAACACCTGTGCACCGGCCAAGACCACCCCTTCCAGTGCCCTTTCTCTTTGGGCCTTTTTGCATTCCAGGATGAGTTCAGACAGCGCTTCAGCTGGAGTGGCATGTACATTATACCCACGAAGTGCCCACACCTCCCGATGGACTTCACAGGTTGTCTCGGCCCTGTGAGCTTGGGCACATGGCTGGGGGTCCAGAGCGGGCACAGGAGTTGAAATCTGCTCTGACAGCTCCCTTCCCAGACACAGCCTCTCTCTCCCCATGGTGGTCGACGTAACCTCCCGCTCCAGCTCCTCACAGACATGAAAAATTGATAATAATTTATAAATTATCAAGGGTTTGTGGGGGATGAGGGGGAGGAGGGAGGGGAAAAATGAGGAACTGATACCAAAGGCTCAAGTAGAAAGCAAATGTTTTGAGAATGATGATGGCAACAAATGAACAAATGTGCTTGACACAATGGATGTGTGTATGGATTGTGATAAGAGTTGCATGAGCCCCCAGTAAAATGGGGCCCCCAATAAAATGATTTTAAAACGAAGAAGAGACTGCCTCTTTTACTGTCGTTTTAGCAGAAATATGAAGAGGGCTTTTAATAGGCCCTGTTTGGATTGCCTCCCTGAATCGATGGGGCCAAAAGAAACAGGAGACAGTAAGAAATGTCTACTTGGCCAGAGCTTGTTCATGTGTCCATTGAGAAGGAGAGACCCCCCAGAATCTCATGGAATGAATTCCCTGGCCATGGGAGGTTTTGATTCTGGCCGTTGAAAACCCTGTGGAGTTCAGTTGTTGAACCATATGGAATCTCTGTGTTAGGCTGGGTTCTCAGGAGAAGCAAAACCAGTCACACGTGTATATGTTAATATAGAAAGATAATTGTATCCAGAAACGGCTTATGCCGGTGAAGAAATAGGTAGGTTCAGTTCCGTTCAAGTCAGGCTTCTCCGGACTGGAGGAAGCTGATGACCAGGAAGCAGGACGACAAAGCAGAGACAGCAGGAGGCATAGGCTGGTGGATGATCACAGAGGTCTGAAGTTGGCCTGATGAATCCACTGTCAGTAGTCCTCTGGCAGCTCCTGAGGTCAGCAGGTAGTGTAACAGGACATTGAGGAACCAGAAGCAAGTTCAGCTCTGGCAGAAAGGTGAAGGGCCAATGAGGATTCAACTCTGCTCGGTCAGTCTCTCTCTTAGACAAAAAGGAATACCGGTAAGACACCAAGGAAGTGTCACTAGGCTGCAACTCAATTCGTAGGTTGAGCTCCACCACTTACCCTTACAGGGAGCATAATCCCCCACCATCGCAGTCTCAAGAGTGGTGTGACCAGAAAAAGGGGAGAAGGACAGAGCATGCTAGGTGGCTGAGAGTTCCAGATACCACCGTCCATTGGTTTAGAGAGTCTCAATCGAGGGTTCATTAAACTTGAAAAGAGTTGGCAAAATACTAGCAAAGAAGTTTCAACAAACAGATGCAATGCTGGAAGCACTCATTCCTCGGGCCGAGAAATTTAGTAGGCAGCCACCTGGCCAACTGACAGGAAGAGATGTGTATTTTCACCCCTTCCAAAGCAAGGGGATTCACAGAATGTGAAAATTAGGAAACATGTGTGGACATAACCTCTGCCACACCTGTATGAGGAGACTTCAAGAAGGTCACAGAAGAAAATGGAAATAAAGGAGAATGACTTTTTTTTAGCATACTTATGCATGTATGTACAGAGAGTGTCCGTTTTGCCCTCTCACTCTGGTCGGCTGGAGCGTGTACACACTTTCTGTGAGGGGAGAAGGGACTGGGGCTGCCGTTTCTCACGAGGCTGCACGGCCCGAACCACCGAAGAGCCGTTGGTTTCCAACTGCTGCAATGGTTTTAGACTTGGCCGGCCCGG